AAAAAATAAGTAAAGTGCTGAAGGTACGCACTAAGTCACCCCGGAAAAGGGAACGATGCCCCGTTAGCCTGGCCACGGTCACTGAATCAAAGCGCATTTGATCGAGCGGCCATAGCCTGGCAATGCGCCGAACCAAAGAACACGTCCAGAAAACATCTACCACTTCACGTCGAGCTTGTTTGTTTTTTTGTCCCTTTTATCCTAGCGCTACCCACTATGGGGGATCGGCTATGAAACGAACGGTGCCTTGCTATTTACAGGGGATGTTCAGAATTTCCAAATGTTAAATTTTTAATGAATATGCTTGATTTTGATAACTTCTTTATTTTTATTTTTTGCTTGTTTTCTTGTTCCTATTTGCTTTGGCTCGTAATCACTATGGCGTATTGGCCATTAAACCAGCGGTTAGTGTAATGGAGAAGACGAATTGTTAAATTTCGCAGAAGAAAAATAAATATTGAGTCGTCTAGGGAATATAAGTGCGGATAATTATAAAGTGACACGAATAAAGTAGGCAAATAACTAAACCAACGCTACAAGGTAGAACCGTTGGCTCATGTTACCAGACTGTCTGCATGTGCCCACTGTTTCTAAAACTCAACGAAGAAAGCGGGCGCTCAACCACATAACAACGACTAAAGTTTTATTAATGTAATCTACTAATTTTCTGTAACAAATAAAAGTAAAACTATTGAAAATAAAGGTTTAATTAATTTTTTTTTTTGGTTTTCAATATTTGTCCCCTCCTCACTAAGTCGTGCTTCAGTCGTCACGCGGTTGTTGATGTTTGTCGCAATAGGTTTCGGACCACTTTTCATTCCGACATTCGCGACCTATTTAGAGTGACTTTGCGTGCAGCATATCGTTTTTTGCTCGGTGTGACGTCAGACAAAAGTTGAGCCTCATGCGGGGTGATAAGGGCCTTAAATTTTTCGACTGCCAATTTTGACATGCATTGCAGGAAAGCCAGCACATCAGGGGAAGCTTCAGCTCGCGAGACTACGAACGTACAGTATATCTTTTGTTGCACAGTGTGATGTCAACAAAATGTTTTATTCTTAGTCATAAGGGCCTCAACTTTTTGGGCAGTTTTTTTTTTTTACTTTCATTGCGGGAAAGCCAACGCATTAGGGGAAGCTTCAGTTCGAGAGACTCGTATATAAACGTACAGAATAACCTTCGTTGCATGGTGTGACGTCAGACAAAACTTGAGCCTTATCAGGGGTGATAAGGGCCTCAACTTTTGCGACTGCTTTTTGACACACATTGCGGGAAAACCAATGAATCAGGGAAAGATTCAGCTCTGGAAAAAGGAAGGCAGGAAGTAAGAAGCAGAAGGACAGGGAGGTTAGCCAGTTTATCCTCGTTTAACCAGTTTATCCCTCATCGTAGTGCGTAACCAGTCTTAAGTTTTGACCTGCAAGGTCAAAACTTAAGACTGGTTACGACTGGTTACGACTGGTTAAGACTTTTGACCTGCAAGGTGGTGCCAGTGGGAGATTTCTTCTGTGCGTTGTTGAACAGTAAAAAATTCACAGCGTGTGCGTTAACTAAAAGCCGAATTCTCCTGTCTCTCATTCCCCATTAGCAGCCAATGGCATGTACATTGAGCACTATCTGATAAGAAATGGTTGCTGTGTTATACACGCAGGGCGTAACCATCTTGGTTTTAAATAGGTTTAGCGAGCGTTGGGCCGCAGTGCCATGAATACAGTGAACTAGTATATACAACGAACTCGAGGTGGTTAAAGGTGGTAAGTAGACACAAAGAGCAAGCCGTAAGAAAGTGTGCGTGTGCCAAAGCCAAACTCTTCTGTCTCTCATTGCCCATTAGCGGCCATTGGCATGTACATTGAGCACTATTCAACAAGAGAGGGTTGCTACGTTACACTCGCTATGCGTAACCTCCTTGGTTTTAAAAAGGTTTAGCGAGCGTTGGGCCGCAGTGCCCCGAATACAGTGCACTAGTATATACCATGAACTCGAGGTGGTTAAAGGTGGGAACTAGGCACGAAGCGCAAGCCGTAAGAAAGTGTGCGTGTGTCACCTCTCGTTTAGTCCTTGGAATGTACGCTGGATGGCGGTGCTTCTATATGGAGAATATATGATGAAAAGCTGCGAGATGGTGGTACTTGGAGTGTTGAATAGATGGACGAACGCACACACAGACAGATGCATGGACGGATGCACGGATGGCTGCACGGACGGATGGACGCATGGACGGAAGTAGGGGCGGATGCATGGACGAACGCAGGGACGGACGCACGGATGGACGTGTGGACGCACGAACAGACGCACGCACGGCCGGGCGGATGGACGCACAGACGGTCACACAGACGGACGCATGGACGGACGGATGCTTCGCCCCACTCTCCATCATTCGCCCCACTTTCCATCATTCACCCCATGGATATGCTGCTATTTTTTCTGTCGCTTACCTCGTCCTATATTTCTTCATATCTTTCCACTATTTTTTATCCCTCCTTCCCCCTAGAAGAGTGACTATGGTTACAATATAACTTCATGTCTGCCATATTTTAGCTCTTACAAATCATTATTAATCATATATCTAGTCTGTATGATCCGCCCGATTCTTGGCCGTTCCTCCTGAGTGGGTAGGTGCCAATTTTTCAAAAGATGATGATGATGGTCATCATCATCATCATCAAGACCTGACTTGCTCTTGTCATCGGAAACAACAAGTGGGTGAGACGTGGCAGCTAGAATAAGCAGGGATAACTGGCGATTAAGTTTTTTTGTCATTCGGACATCCCCTGCCGAAAATACGCCGAAGCTGCTCCTTGTGGGAAGCGTATGCCACTCACTTGAAGCCGTTGAATCTCTGTAACCACCCTGAAACTCCGTCGTCCATTCCTCCAGCTTTGACCTCAGGACCACAGCACATCAACGGGATAGTGACGTTATCTAAAAGGTTGACTGGCCAATTAGACTTCCCGTAATTCAGTTACGAGAAATAACTATCCTGCGTTCGTCCATCTAATGTTGTCACAACGGCTCGGACACGTCATTAAAGATGGACATATTCGACGACGTTAGCGCCAACACAACATCCCCTACCATCCTGCAGGACTTTGTGCTGTCCGAAACATCATCCTAGGTCATGGCAAGTTTCAGAAGCCAGTGCTGCACTGCTCCATTTTCTCAGTCATAGTGCTGCTCCTCCACGCTTTCGCCTACCGCGTCATCGGCCGGGCCAACAGCCCGACAACCTGCGCGATTTCTTAGTTCAGAAGTGGAAGAACGCTGTGATTTCTGGGCTGGCTGATGGAAGCTATGCAGCAAGTGCATTATCTACGACCTGCCGGTTCCGGTAGGATTCTCTGCTTTATTAATAAGGTCGCGCCTATATTGCCGGTAACCGGCATACTATCCCGGAAAAGAAGTTGCCGGCAGTTTTCTTCTATTGGCTGCCCATTACCATGTGACTTATCTGCCGGCACATTTCTGGTGAGCCTGTTATGTCAGCCTGCTGTATTTTTAGCTTTAAGCCGTCATTTAGCTATTTTCGCTCTCCAACATTTCGAAACAGTGATCACCATTGTCAAGGATAGTCAAAGACCTGAGCTTTCCCAACTGAATCTAACCTAACGTAACGTAACCTAACCTAACCTAACCTAACCTAACGAGTCTCACAGGCATTCTACAGACAGTATGCCGCTGGCTCGCAGTACCGCTTGTTTCAAGTGTGCTTCATGTCGTGAGACGAAATTCTCTGAGGTGGACAATATTACACCTAGGTAGCGGTACTCCCCTATCCTGGGCAGCTCCTCGCAGTTCGGCAGCACCAGACCGGCCTCGGCACACTCCCCAGAGAACGTCACTTGAAACCCTCCTATAAAAAAGAACTGCCGGCACCCTGTCTGTCGATATACTCTGCCGGATGCCGGCAATATAGACACTACCTATTCATAAACCTACACCAAGAGCAACCCACTTCTCCCAGATGATTATTTTTTGCCATGAAACCGATTCTGCGTTCTTTTTATCAATTATTTTTTAAAGGGCCCCTAAACAACCACCGAAAGCATTAAAAAATGCTTTATTTTCTCCCAGCTAGCGTTTCCAGTTTTCGTGGCACAATACGTAACGTCAGGGGCTCATTCGCGTGACATCAGGATAAAATAAGCTCTCGATTGTTCGATATACGAAAGACATCTGTTGTGAATTTACACTTACTCTACTTTGCCATGCTGTCGCATGCCCATTCTCCCTTGTCTTACATGAATACAGTGTGCGATAAACTGACTTCACCGTCACTTCGAAATTCGCAGCCTTTTCCAATTAAATGTTTTAAAAGGGCCATGACCTAGTCACCCAAATGTTAGCTGTTTTCAGCGAAAAGTAAATGTAGATCGTCTAGTATAAACACACGTACATGGAAAAAACGCACTGCAAAATAATATTTCAGTAAAAAGAATCACGGCATATCCATGGAGTAAATGATGATGAGTGGGGTGAAGTGTCCGTACGTCCACCCGTGCTTCTGTCTGTCCATTCGTCCACGCTTCCATCTATCCGTGCGTCCATCCATGCATCCTTCGTGCGTCCGTCCACCCGCCCGTCCGTGCGTGCGTCCATCTGTCTGTCTGTGCGTCCGTTCGTCCATATGTCTGTCTGTTTGTCTGTCCGTCCATTCGTTTCCATCTGTCTGTCTGTCTGTCTGTCTGTCTTTCTGTGTCCATCCGTGCGTGCGGCCATCCATCCGTGTGTCCATCCGTCCGTGCATGCGTCCGATCGCGTTCGAGAATGCAGATGGCGCGCGGGTAACACCGACGAGACACGAGGCAAGGAAGCCAAGGGCAAGCGTCTTCTCGCCTCCATCGAAAATACACCCGCCGCAGCCGAGGTTCAATCCCGCGACCTGCAGCTGAAAACCATAGCCACTAGACCATTGCGGCGGGGCTAAGGCTACGTATAGTAACCAAATAGATTCGTTACATGTTTCTCACTAAATGTTTTTGAGTTTAAGACAAGTCATCTTCTCTTAATCTTAGTGACGATGAAACGTGTTTATTTAAGGGACGGGAAAGGAGAATAGTTGACAATGCATGCCAGGTACGCGATTACTGACCCCCCCCCCCCCTGCCCTTATTATCTAAATTGGTCCATCATACTTTACACAGTAACATATTGCCACGACGAGGGCTGTGGTGGTCTGCTGGTGCTGAATTGCAAGAGCTGTTTACTTCCAATATTTGGTTCCACAAAGCCGGTTACCAATGGCATGTTGATGGTCAATACACGTCATAGTTTCATTTTATTATTGCAATAATTTCGAAGCTAGTTCTGTTTAGAGCTTGTTCTAAAGGATGGGGGGGGGGGTGAGGGAGGCTGCACTAAAACATGTTCCGACTGATTCGTAACTAATTGAGAAGAAGCATAGTTTCGTTGCAGACATCCTCGGTAAAATTAAGTCTCTGCAGCATGAGTAAAATGTCTTGTTCGACGAGTTTGTTCGTGGCGTGTGAAGAAGAAACCATAGCTCAAAACGAACAAGCACTACACAAGCATCGCCAGTCCCGAGTTCGTGTGTCGTCGTTCGTTTTACGCTATGGTTTTTCTTCGAGAGTCTCCACCAAACCGCCCGTCTACGCGATGGCCGCTGTCAGACAACCATTCGCATGAGCAGTTCGGAGACTCGCTCCTTGTTGAAGGACGTCACCACGCGCACGGTTCGCTTGACGTCTGGCAGCAGGTCCGTCGTCCAGGCGTGCACCAGCTGGCCCCTGGTGTGCGTGCCGCCCAGCTCGACGGCCACGCGCCGCTCTTCGAGCGCCGAGGCGACCGAGTCCGGCGCCAGCACCGCGGCCACCACCAGCGCGTCGCCCACCTCGTAGCCCGAAGAGCCGCTCTTGTCGTAGTAGCCCAGGCTGAAGCGGGTGATGGCACGTACGAAGCGAGACTTGGCCGTGTCCTGGCGCGTCATCATGGAGTACACCTCCTGCTCCAAGAGAAGTTTGCAGGAAAGAGAGAGAGAACTAATAAAGAAAGGCCCCCTGTTTACTATGGGCAGAGCCCCTAGTCCGGGACCCCAATGGCGGATGCGGGCTTGCCGGGCCTGGACAAGGGTCACCAAGTGGCTTGCCAAGTCCAGTTTGGCGGGTTGCGCCTTCCATCACTAATTCATAATTAAAGTACTAGGTGAATATCGCAGCCTTTGCCGTGAAATGAGAACGGAGCGTGTTTGGGTAACTTTGGGGCAGAATTGTTCATCTACAGTCTGACAGAAAGCTGGTTATGATTATGCGTGATCACTTGAAGTAAGATTACCAAGTGGTGTCAAGAAAGAAAAAGTAAGACAAAAAAGCATAATTTTTCGGTTCTTTAAAACACGTAAGCACCCACTACCCACTGAATTTCAGGCAAGCCTAGCAAATATGGCGCAGTGTGACTGTCAGTCGTATGTTGGCCTTCCTAAATCATAATAAATGTGCTATTCATCCCTGTGACAATTAGAACGATAATGGGAGCAAATTAATTTTAGGCTCGTGGCTGCAACAGAACGACAGCACTCACACCAAGAAAATTAGAGTTCACTCTTTTCTCACCTCTTTTTTCTCAGTCTCACCGTTCGAGGCGAGAACCCTTTAAGAAATACTGTTTGAAAGACCCCTGGGTATGAACAGATGAGTAAAACAAGCGATTTCGATTTCTGTTCGCAAATCACCGGTCCGCACACCGTTGGTGACAGATGTATGAACTACCAGTGCCTCCTTTATTTCATCAATGCCAGCCAGATGTGCCCGATCCAGCCGTTCACCGCCGTTTTCTCTAGCCCTTTGCTGCTCTCGCCCATCACTTGCATTTCGCCTGTGCTTTGCGGTCATGGGAGAGAGAGCCCATCATGTAGCGCCTCACGATGGAAATCATATAAAGTAATTTTTCGTTCAGTTGCGTACAGATCCGTGAGGTGGCATCTTACATTCCTCGTGTTTAGTGTGCCTCGATGCCGGTTCCTCCGCTCAGAGTGAAGCCATCTGCGGCTGCCGCCATTTTCACTCCCGCTGCATACGGATTTTGTTCTTGCGTGTAGTGGTCCACTATAGCTTAACGCGAATGATTTTAGCTCTGACGAACTCAACGTCTAGCCAATACTAACCGAAAAAAAGCCGGCACGTTAGCCCTTTAGCTTGGCGAAATGCTGCAGGCACTACAATGGCGGATGGAGCAGTACAAAAGGTGGCAGCACCCTGAGCGGGGGCGCGCGCATCGAGGCACCCTACTCGTGTTCAACACGTTGGCTGTCGCACTGGCTCTGTAAAAGATGCGGTGTTTTGAGATAGCGCGTCACCGTTCGCGGCGGGCAACCAATGGGGAAGCGTCACTGCAAAGCTACTGCATGCGCTCACTTGAAGAGCGCTGCGATGCAGCGGCGGCATCGCTTCGAGCCACAAGCAAGGAGCCCGAAAGAACAAATCTGACGGGCGTATGATGTTGTTGGGGGGAAACACGTCTATCGCATCTACGGGGGAAAGCGCTCAGACGCACGTGTGACGCGAGCAGCGCTACCTAGAGTTTCTTTATATGCTACACAAAGGTAGCATATACAGCGACTCTAGCGCTATGGATGGATGGATATGGCTGTACCCTTTAGATCGGGCGGTGGCTAGCGCCACCAAGCCGTAATACTTAATGAACCAAAAAACTATATTTTTTTCCTTAAAAAGTGAGTTTGAGGATTCGTACTTTGCAGTGAAGAGTTTAATTTTCACTCGTGCCTTGACTTTAGCCACCAATCACATAACCTCCTTCTAGTTAAGTCTACCCGCTTAAAGTCTATTTTGCCCTCCCGGTCCCTAAACCCCAATGCTTTGAAAAACTCTGCGCCATCATCCTGAACTATAGGGTGAAGCCCTTTACAGAACATTATCAAGTGTTCGGCAGTTTCTTCTTCCTCTCCACACGCACTGCATACTGTGTCTACCCCTTCGTATTTGGCCCGATATGTCTTGGTTCGCTGTACTCCCGTCCTGGCCTCAAACAGTAGAGAACTACCCCGAGTATTATCATAGATCCTTTTCTTGGCAATTTCCTGCTTAAAAGTTCAATATATCTTTAGTGCGGACTTCTTAATCATGCCCATTCTCCACCTGTCAGTCTCCGTTTCCTTCACTTTCTTCTTAACCGATAGTTCTTTTTGGTTTGGCCACCTGCTGTTTTCTAAGTATTTACCAGTCAACTTCCTGGTTTGCTTCTTCCATTTTGTATCGACATTCTTCATGTACAAGTAGCTGAAAACCTTCCTAGATCAACGCTCCTCCCCCATTTCTCTCAATCGCTTCTCAAATTTTATCTTGCCGCTAGCTTCCCTGCCCTCAAATGATGTCCATCCCATATCACCTTGTACTCCCTGATTTGGTGTATTCCCGTGAGCTCCTAAAGCAAGCCTACCTATTCCACGTTGCTTAATTTCTAATCTTGCTTGAACTTCTGATCTCATGCACAAGACCGCATTGCCGAACGTCAGCCCAGGAACCATGACCCCTTTCCATATTTCTCTCACAACATCATACCTATTGGAATTCCATAGTGCCCTATTTTTCATCACTGCTGCATTCCTGTTACCTTTAGTCGTCACGTATATTTCGTGTTCCCTCAGGTACTCGGTCCCTTTGCTTATCCATACGCCCAGATATTTGTATTTATCTGTTATCTCTAGCGTGACCTCCTGTATTCTCAGCTCACTACCTTCGTTGTCATTGAAAATCATGACTGCTGATTTTTCTTTACTGAATCTAAAATCTAACCTATCTCCCTCATTACCGCAGATGTCCATCAATCTCTGCAAATCTTCCTTGTTGTTGGCCATTAGCACTGTATCGTCTGCGTACATTAATGCTGGTAGTGCCTGGTAAATAAGTTTTCCTTGTTTCACTAAAGAGAGGTTGAAGCCCAGTCCACTTCCCTCTAATTTTTCCTCTAATCCTTGTAGGTACATCATGAATAATAAGGGTGACATATACCCTTCATGTCGCGCCTCATCGCGACCACTCCCTGAACTAAGGCGGACCAACGGCTCCCGTTGAGAAGCGCGCGTTTGCACTGACATTGAAAGAAATAAAGTAGGCACTGGTAGTACATGCATTATCAACGTTGAAAGGTTGGCACAAGTGGCCGGTTGCCGGAGCGGCAAGATTGCCGTACGCGGTGCTGCGTCTTTCCCGAGCCCACCGGTATGGACAGTGCCCACCCATTCCATTTTCCTACGAAGAGATGGCCAGCGGAACGCACTCCAACAAGCAGCTTTTTACAAGCAACTGCGATAAAGATACGGGGACTCGCAACATCAGTGATAGAAGAAAAAAAAAACGAAAAAGGATATCGTGTGCACAGCCACATCTACCGATAAGCAATGAACAAGTGTTTTTTTTTTAATTTTATTCTGGGCTTTCAGATGAGCCAAAAGCAATATGGGCTGCCTGCCACCGGTGTGTGGGCCACCCCTGCTGCTTAGGAAATCGGAATGTGTTTTGCCATGATCTCGCTATCGTGAAAAACGCAGAGCCGCGTGTTGAGACTGTACAACGTCATTTCCACGCCTTTGTGTACTATCCGTGTCGCACTCGCTCAGCTTCGAAGCAGTCAGGCTCACCCAAGGAATAGGCGACTTGACCACTGCCTCCCATGGAACGATCGTGATGGGGCACTGGGCCCTCGTGAGCACAACGTTGGCGGCCTCGGGGTCCGTTTTGAAGTTGTACTCGGCACCGGGGAGAACGTTTCCACGACCTGCAGAAGCATCGGTGCATCAACTGCTGTACCCCTGTCACACGTAGCAACTTAAGTGCACTTTGAGCGAGTACACTGAGCCGCCAGTGTCATTTGTGCGCTGTCACACGAGCAAGTTTAGTGTCACTCGCTGCAAAGTAGGCTTGCCGGCAAGTGCGTTCCCCAACCTCACTTCACTGCGACGGCTGCAATAAAGTGTGTAGCCTCGGTACCAGTGGCTTGTACAGAAAAACGCTGTTGCCTTAAGCGGCGCTCATACTATGGCTGTGTTCCAATTCTAAGACAGCACGTAGACAGTCTACGCTGACTGCTTAGAAGACCGTACCGAGCCCATGCTGTCCGAAAATTGGAACACGTTTAGACAGGTTTTACGCGACGATGCTTCATCCTCGCGTCGAGAAGAAAAAAGCTAAGAGAAACAAACGTAATAGTTGTAATTTCTGGCTTATTTCGTGTTAAAATCAAAAACAAATACACGTTCCTCACATCGAGCGTCTGGGAAAGCGTCTGCTTGTGTGCAGACGGCCATTCTGGCGAGATTTGATCTATCTGAGCGATTCGCTGAGCCACCATCTTGTTTAGACAGCAAAGTAGTCTGCACCATATTTATCTACGATGCGGTCTTCTCGAAGCTGTCTACTTCGCCGGCTACGTGAGAATTGGAATGGGACTTAAGATGGCCGCCAGTCCATTTAGCTGTCTATCTAGCCGTCTACGGTGATGATTGGAACACAGCTTATAATTAAACCATTGTTTTTGTTATGATAGAGACTATTATGTATAAAACTAGTGATAAAATACAACAATAACCTCGCTACTTGCACTGTCGGGCGGTTTGCGGCCCCGTCTGCTAAGAGGATGCGGCAGCACATGCACAGCAATGGCTGCCTCCTTTGCGTTGTTTACATCTAGGTAGACTTGCACATGTGTGAGTGAGTTGTTCTCTGATCATTTAAGATGGCATGCGCCACAGGTGCTACTTCCACGAAGACAACGTGGTCCGACGATGAGGCACAGGCGCAAAAATAACAAATATACGTTGTGCTACAAATCCACGAATCGCCACTGCCATCATTTGCAAAGTACACTTCACTTTTTTTGTGTAGAAGCGAACCACCAAAGTGACATTTCGTGAGCGTAAGTACACTCGCTCTTAAGTGCACTTAAGTTGCCACGTGTTACAGGGGTATAGTCACTCGTCCTCTTTCGCGAGGTTTGTGATCCTCCGTTTTACGATTGTTTAGAGCTGAAATAGGATGCAAAAAGACAGTTTCACCGCAAGGTAAAGCTGTGCCTTTTCGTCTCCCAAACTCGGCCAGGGGGCGTTGCACCGCACGAGAGGAGCAGGAAACGGTTGAACATTTGATAATGTTCTCTAAAGGCTCCGCCCTATAGTTGCAGATAATGGCGTCGAATTTTTCAAAGCATTGGGGTTTAGTGACAGTGAAGGCAAAATAGACTTTAAACGGGTAGAAATAACCAGGAGGAGGCTAATTGATTGGTGGCTACAATCGAGGCGCGAGTGAAATTCAATGCTTAAACACACAGTGATAGTACTTAACTTTATGGCTATAGGTGCCGTGAGCCACCACCCGATCTAAAGGGCACAGCCGGATACATCCATCCATCCATCCTTCGCCGCAAAACCGGTCGTTCGGTACTCTGCTCCCGCCTTCTGCCTGCACTATCTCAGCACGCTTACGTGCTCTGCACGCGCTGTTATCTGGTCGCCCTTCACGCGCAGCGTCATCTGTGACTTGCTCCGAAGGTTTAAAAAGGTTATAAAACCGTTTTCACGGTGAGCATATTATAACCGAGAGCGATTCATTCACAACCTTTGCGGGACCAATCAAACACGATGTCTTTGAGCGAGTGCTATGTGAAAGTCGACCGTGAACAGCTGCACTTATATTACATTAAAAGTGAGGTGATGGCGTGAATTTTATATGTATGTTACCAAAAAACACGCATTTGCTGAGGCATTCATGTCTTCTCGGAGCTGTCGGCAGACTACCTCCTCGCTTTCGCATGCATTTGTATATAGCGTTCAGGTTTCTATTGATTGAAGGTCAAGTTTGTCTTGCGGCCTTCAATTTAGTAGGAGGTCAGTGTGAAGAAACTGAATTTACGTTTGCCCTGTTCAGTCCCAGGCACCATTTAATGCGGTGTGTTCCGTTTCATAAGAGTTCCCCTTTTGCCGAGGTTTTCATCGGATGTTAACAAGGTCGTATCGTAAGTTCGATGACAATTTGATTTTTTGCATCTTTTAAAAGTGTGATGATGCGCACAAAAAAAAGTATTTTATGTCCACATGCGTGTTTCTTGCAGCACATATTCCATTTTTGGATAATATCCACGCCTGATCACGCAGCGTGTTCACTGTTTCGAATGTGTTTTTGTGTTCACAGCTAACTTGGTCGTCGTCATATCAGTTATATGACACAATACCCACTAGAATCGAGCATGTTTTTAGTTACGCCTAGATTTGGCCCTGATAGCCACGTAAAATTTCGCGAAGCCATCGAAAATTTTACACCTGCCTTGGTTCTTTTTCAACTCGTTTTCACAGCGGCAGCTGTTTATCACCCGTGGCTCGGGCGCATGGAAGGGCATAATATTTTACGTGACAAAACTATCAAATCATTAGGAGGCACGCCGTGGATTGAGACTACAGATTGATTCCGGCCACCTGAGGTTTTCTTTCTTTTTTAACGTGCTCCTGAATCTATTTAAAGTGTATACGGCGCGACGATAACGGACAGAGAGTGCACACACACCGAGTGTCACTTCTGTTTACATTGAGCGTCATACCACCGTGTACGCTTGAAATATACCACATCAACACGCCCTGTCTGTCATTCTTGAAGCAAAATCTGAGTGCACTGTTACGGCGTATCGCTCCCGTGGAAATGCGGCTGGCGTATGCGGGAATCAAACTCATGACTTCGATCCTAGCATCACAACACCTCATCATGCTAACTTATCGGTGGGCGTTGCTTGCAAGACACCTGTTCGTATAAAAGATCAGCGCGAACCCACAGCACAAATCTGTTTACACTGAGTGGCGACGAGAAGTCTACAGCCGTCAGCTAAATAAAAAGGGCTCACACGGTATTTTAAGTGTATTAGGCTAGCAAAGTCCACGCTTTCGCACTACGCTTGGTTGTCTCGGAAAGCCAGAGCCGCCAATCGCGAAATGTACAGTGGTTGTCTATTTGCTGTAGTTTGTTTACAAGCACGCTTCTTTCATTATGAGTCCGGTCTTCGCGTTTTTTAGTTAATTAATAGTTTTTAGTACTGCGCACGACAGAAAAAAATTCAAAGTAACGAGACCGCGGAGTATCGGCGAACTGCCATAATACACTCTTGACGCCTTTGCTTCTCGCACTGCTTGCACTGTAAACGGTAGAACTTGACGGACACTTTGCAGGTCTTCGTCCTGTTTAAACTTTTGTAGCAGCTAACAATGCAGCAGTAGTGCTTGCCTACTTTCCAGAATGACGAAGAAGCGCTGCCCGTAGCGTGCCAAATGCGAGATAAGCGCTCCAAGGAACACGTTTTCCGCGCGCGCAAAGTGAAAACCCTGCAAGCGAGGCCATTCCGAGCAACCGGAACTTTGCCCTCTTTCCGCTAGGGAGGTGAACGGCGCTGCGCCAGCTTGAACCCGTACGCCCTATAGATTGGAACGTTATGCGAACCAAGGCTACCAACTAACTCAGCGTCCAATGTGGTCTAACTCAACACAGCGCTGGCGTAAGGGAAAGCGGCCACTGCAGCGAGTGAGGCGACTTACGTGCTGTTTGTCGCTTGAGCATTAAGTGAGCAGTGAGAACACAACGCGTACAAAGGTACCAGCCATCTGCTAATCTTTGTCAATACAGGGCACGTGCAGGTGGAATCGATTCGATCTGGTCTAACTCAACAAAGCGCTGGCGTAAGGGAAAGCGGCCGCTGCAGCGAGTGAGGCGACTTCCGTGCTGTTTGTCGCTTGAGCATTAAGTGAGCAGTGAGAACACAACGCGTACAAAGGTACCAGCCATCTGCTAATCTTTCTCAATACAGGGCACGTGCAGGTGGAATCGATTCGAACATGGTCCCCACCTTCGACGTTTCCTCCGAGGATGAATATTTCCTTCAGGTTCGCCCCGAATCGGGGATCCAACGTAAGCGCCAGAGCCGCGTTGGTCAACGGGCCCAGCAGCAACAGCGTGATCTGGCCAGGGTCTGTACGTGCCATTGCGATTAGCTTCTCGGCGGCGTGCACGGGCCTGCAAAAGTTAGTAGTAATACAAATGACAATAATAATTGTTGGGTTTTACGTTTCGAAACGACTGTTTGATTATGAGGGGTGCCATATAGATGGCTTGCACTGACATCACTGAAACAGCCACGTTGGCGGACAAACATTGTGTGACGAAAACTGTGAAGTAACGTTAGTGCTATCAGTACATCACATGTTGGTTATTTCGCTATTCGTGCACCATGGCCTGATAACGTTCTGCAGTGACGACGTTATCACACTCGAGCAGGTTAATCAGCCCGTGATTATACTGCCTTGACGACATCTAAGCCACGATGTTTGGGTCTTGTTGTGCATCCATGGATGGATGGATGGATGGATATGGCTGTACCCTTTAGATCGGGCGGCGGCTAACGCCACCTAGCCGTAATACTCAGTAAACTAACCATTAAATTTATCTTTTTTTTCCCTTTTAATAGTGACGTTGACGATTCGTACCTTGCAGTGAAGGGTTTGATTTTCACTCGTGCCTTGACTTTAGCCACCAATCAGATAACCTCCTTCTAGTTAAGTCTACCCGCTTAAAGTCTATTTTGCCCTCCCTGTCCCTAAACCCCAGTGCTTCGAAAAACTGCGCCATCATCCTGAACTATAGGGTGAAGCCCTTTACAGAACTTTAGCAAGTGTTCGGCAGTTTCCTCCTCCTCTCCACATGCACTGCATACCGTGTCTACCCCTTCGTATTTGGCCCGACATGTCTTGGTTCGCAATACTCCCGTCCTGGCCTCAAACAGTAGAGAACTACCAAGATTGCCATGGTGTCACGTGCAAGCGGCCTATAGCGGAGGGCTTCGGAAACTATGACCACCTAGCGTTTTTTTTTTATGTGCACATTGATCTATGTGAACATGACTTGGAATTTCACCTCCATCGAAACGCGGCCGCCATGGCCGGGGTTCGATCACGCGACCTTGCAACAGTTATCGACGCTGGATTGCACCCTTCCTGCTTTCAATGTTTTTGAGCTCGCGAGGTCATTAAAGGGCCGCTAAATACCACCCGAAAGACACACACACAAAACATAAAAAGCGCGTCATTCTCTCCTGGCGTTTCTCGTCTTTTCGGCGCATTTCGTGCCGCCAAAAAAGGGCGAATCACGTGGCGTATAACTAGGCTAGTAATTGCCGATTGGTCCATATACGACATACATCCGTTGTGAGTCGTCTTCTACCCTGCTTCGCCATGCAATCACCCACCCGTTCTTCCTTGTCTCGAACGAATAGCGTGCGTGACCAACTGCATGATTTCCCTTCGTCTTGTGCGTTCACAACATCTCAAACGGAGGTAACAGAGTGTCGCCAACAAGCACGAAATCCTTATACGCTCAATGAACGCTTAATGCTGACACTGCACGCGTACTTTAGTAAGGAATAGGTGGGGAGGTGCGGATATCACCTCTATAGACGGTTTCAAGATTGCCAGCGTTGTGCGCCAAAAGAACTTCCGGTCACCTGATTTACCTGCTCGTAGCGTCGAAACTGAAAGGACTGATTTATTGATGTGTGGGGTTTCACGTCTCAAAACCACCATATGATTATGAGAGACGCCGTAGTAAAGGGCTCCGGAAATTTCGACCACCTCGGTTTCGTTAACGTGCACCCAAATCTGAGCACATGGGCCTATACAGCATTTTCACCTCCACCGAAAATGCAGCCGCCGCAGCCGGGATTCGATTACGCGACCTGCGGGTCAGCAGCCGAATACCTTAGTGACTAGGCCACCACGGCGGGCGAAACTAAAAGGACGTTTTCGCGTTTTTTTTTAAGTGTAAACAAGGTCAATTATTAGTTTTTCAGACAAAGAGAACGTGCGTAATATTCAAGACAATTTCTCGTAGCTTTTATGAAGCTCAAAAGAACATTTATTTGAACATATTTTGCCAAATTAAGGAAGAGAAGTGTAGAAAATCTGCGGTCTATTTTCTAACGCTCTTATTGCCCCCAATGCTATTCAGGCACATCGGTGGACGAAACCGGATGTCATCAAGGATCTGCGTTTGTCAACTGTGAAAGGGTCTATAAAGGAAGAGTGGTCAATGCGAAAAAAAAATTAACAGCACATCCACGGAGTGAATGATGATGAATGGCGATTGAAGCATGCATCTATCTATCTATCTATCTATCTATCTATCTATCTATCTATCTATCTATCTATCTATCTATCTATCTATCTATCTATCTATCTATCTATCTGTCTGTCTGTCTGTCTGTCTGTCTGTCTGTCTGTCTGTCTGTCTGTCTGTCTGTCTGTCTGTCTGTGTCTGTCTGTGTCTGTCTGTGTCTGTCTGTCTGTCTGTCTGTCTGTCTGTCTGTCTGTCTGTCTGTCTGTCTGTGATGGTCACTTTGCTCCACTCACCATCATTCATTCGAAGGACATGCTGTGAATTTCTCTACGAAAACTACTGACGGCGTCTAGTGATACCAAGGACATATACGCACAACGCCACCTAATGAGCGATTATTAATCTAACTAGACATGGCTACTACTGCAACATACTAGTACTGCGAGAGAACGGCCCCCATCATAAGGAGCTTCGCGCGTAATATAGACCACACTCTTATTTCAAATCGGAGCTATTACGTGCATGTTTACATCACCATTACTCGGACAAATGCTTCCTTACCGAAGCATATTGTAGTATATCGGTGTTTTGTGATCAGTGGTGTCACTTAGCGGTGTATCTTTGTCTATTCTGTACTGAAGACAAGGTGTCCGACGAGTGGATCATACCTCCTTGTGGGGGGGGTGGGGGGGATTTCATACATGTGTCTGCGTGTGTGCTTGTAGATCTGTCTTCGCCGGAAATGTTTGGTTTCCCCCTATAGCGTGCTGTGTGAAGTCTACCGTATATACTTGCACAATTGACCTTTTTCACGACAGGTACAGCGCCCTTCGCGGCGAGAGCCAAAAGCAAATTTGGTGGCTTTCCGGTCAACGCGACTGCGTCTCAGCTTGCGCGTTCCTTTGCACCCATCGCCTCCGAGATGGCGTGCCGACAGGTTTCGGAGGCCACGACGAGCCACCAAATTTTGTTTCGGGGTGGCGCCGTTGAAGTGTTCCCGGTGCTCATGCGCAGACAGCGCCCGTGAAAAAGGTCCATTCCAACACGCTTGACTAGCTTTTGCCTTCCGAATCGGCATGGAAGACAGTGCTGCTTGCGGTCATTGCGGCAGCGATGAAACGATAGAGCACGTTCTCTGTCACTGCCCTCGTTACAGCGTGCAAAGACGGCAACTAGCTGCTGCGTTAGCTCGCCTTGACGACAGACCTTTGTCTGAACAATCAGTGCTGGAAAGACGACATGATTTGTGTGCTCACAGAAAATCAGTGAAGGCCTTACTGAACTTTTTGCGTGGCAGCGGCCTATTGTATAGACTGTAGCACCCCAGCTCCCCCCCCCCTTTTTTTTTGCGCGCGTCTATTTCCCTCTTCGCTTTCTTTCCAATCTTTCTTCCCCATTCCCTCTTCCCCTAGTGCAGGGTAGCAAACCGAATGCTCCATTTTCTGGTTAACCTCCCTGCCTTTCCCTCATTTTATTCTCTCTCTCTCTAGAAGTTAATGATCGTAGTTAGCTTTGACCAAGGTTTGCAAGTGTGTACTTGTTGGCTATCGACGTAATACAGGGGTAACCAAAACTTGTGCTAAGGCATTTCTCCCGCACATTGCAGCCCTCGTAAGCGATGAAACATTTTGTATCACCTTCCAGCCACGCTGCCGTCGTCCTCTTCGTCTTCCAGGTCGCCGTCGTCGCTGCAGGCAAATTGGTCCGAGACTCCTCCGAGGCCGTCACAACCGTGGTACTCGTCAGCCAGGTCCAGCGGCTGACTCAACGGCTGCTCGCAGCCACGGTACACCGGTATCTGGCGAGAGATGATTTCGTGTGGGTCACGGATTACGTCCTATTCGATTCACTCGATTAAAGCAAATGCTTTTAGGTACGCGCGTCTGCAAAACGAGTCAGAACGCACGAGCGACGACCGCGATCCTGTAAAACGATAAAACTGCATCGCCGCGCCATCTGACGTCGCGAGTGTGCATGCGCTTCCTATCATTTTCACATACCTTTTTACTCACTTGCAGTTGACTAGGTGATTACGTGTAGCGTTTCGCGGTAGGCGTCGTTTTCCATCTTCAATGCGTGACGCGCTCAATTCTACGGAGGCACAGTGGCGGTGAAATAAATAAATAAATAAATAAATAAATAAATAAATAAATAAATAAATAAATATAAAGGTGTTTAGTGTCGGTTTGTGTTTTGGAGGGCGTGACCGACGCAAACTAAGTCGGTCCTAAAGAGCTTCGCCCCTAAAAGCTGGCATCGACAACAGGATGCAAAACTGCTTTTGCAAGCAGACCGTAATGTTCGTGAAACGTCAATTGTGGTTGTAGTGCTGGCTATCCAATCTTCTAAACAGTACACATACGTACTCATACCATACACAGCCCTCTCGTCGGGTTAACGACAATTATAGTGAAGCGCCGTCCGCTGATGCTCATTAATCTAGCGGTATCCACGGCCACCATCCTGGCTGGCACAAGCGCTACGTATCAGCTTACCGCTTCTGATGTTATAGAAATCATGTTGCTCTTGTCATCGTTACGCAACAGTAAACACGTGACTGTTTAACGCACGCCAGTGCGTATACAATTTTTTCACATTTCTGGAGTCACAAGTTTCGAAACGTTTCGCTCAATAAAAAAATTACAACGCAGTCACCTTTCCTCACATGCTTCACATAACATCGATTCTCAAGGTACATGGTATCTGCCGAATACTGTTTTTTTTTTTCTTTCTCACGTACAAGTCCTTCACTGAAATCTGCAACTCATAACAATCTCCGCTTGAAAATGTTTACGAAACCGCCTTTCCTTGCAAAGAAACGGCCACTCGACGACGGCTGTGGCGATAAGGTGTCAGCGCAATGGGCGATTTCGGGATCCAATTACACCACTCAAGTCCTTCCGTTATCTGCATGCGAGCGTCATCTGGAGAAAAACTTCGGAACTCGCGGTGCGCGCGCGCTGCCTCAAATAAACGGTAAGAGTCGTTACAGCAATACAGCGTTTTGCGAATGTATAACACAGTCGACGTAATCCGAACCAGTGATAACCAGCTAGTTGTAAAGCATGCGTGTGTGTGCTATGTTTATGGAATACTTCACAGAAAAAAAACACCAAGCCTGCGCGGAACGCGCAGCACTGTCACATCGAAAGCTGGAAGAGAGACTTTTCTTAAGGCTTCTTTTACATTCTTTGGGTAACTGCTATAGCAGTTACCCAAAGATACGCAACAACGGGGCTTGTATACAGCACTGTCACATCGAAAGCTGGAAGAGAGACTTTTCTTAAGGCTTCTTTTACATTCTTTGGGTAACTGCTATAGCAGTTACCCAAAGATACGCAACAACGGGGCTTGTATACAGCACTGTCACATCGAAAGCTGGAAGAGAGACATTTCTAAGGGCTTCTTTTACATCATTTGGGTAACTGCTATAGCAGTTACCCAAAGATACGCTACAACGGGGCTTGTGTACAAGCCCCGTTGTACGGTCTCTACTATTCTATAAATAATATTTGTTGTGTAGTATGTCGGCTGTGTCATTTTTCGTCATTCCTCGCGGTACCCGCTACACACTTGCGAGGAATTCGGTGCAGTTTTTCTGTGCTGTGGCTGACTACGATGACGAATTACTCCTATAACGCTACTGTAATAGATTGCAGCCTTCACACTGTGTGACTCCAGGTTACTGATTTGCTGTTTTAAAATGCTGTATAACACACATTAACGCGATTTTTTTTTTACGAACCTGAGGCCTGTCTAGGGTGAGTTTGCAACGGAGTTTGAAGCTACATTTTTTTTTCTATTTCCGGGGCAGCGGCGGACAACTACGGCACCACGACCCTTGTGATATCACAGAACAGCATTCGGTGTAAAAAAAAGAAAAAAATGAAGGGAGTGTCACGGGAAAATGTTTAAATAATAGCCACTAAAAAATTTACCAGGAGCATGCTGCAAATTGAGGCCACCGTATGAAGAACAAGAGGGGTGGGGGGGGGGAGCGGCGTCAGAGTGGGTCGGCTTGTGGACGCTATCTCACCTCTCAGGACTAAAATAAAGTTGTTTGTCTGTCTGTCTATTCACGAGCCCACCAGAAAAGGAAATGAAACAGGAGCATCATGGCCAATGAGCACAGACTCGGGGAGAAGCGGCTTCAGAGGAGATTGTCTTGTGCACGGTAGGGTACATAGTAGAACCTCGGACAGTGGCACGTTTACACCCACGCTGGGGGATGGGCAAAGAATCGGTTAGTTTTCGAAAGAAATTCGTAATTATGAGATTAAATGTCGTCTAGTTAAATATTAAGGAAGTAATAGTGAAACGAAATTCCAAATACTCCCAATAGATGAGTAAAAGCGTATATAGTACTCTGAGCTGGGTAATTGAGAAAAAAATATTTAGAAATTAAAAAAAGACTACTTAGAAAATGGGAGGATCAGTTAGCTCTACGACCTAAATCTACTCGAAGATTTAATAAAATTCGCCAAGGCATCGGCAACCTTTCCGTCACTGTGGCCACGGGACAAAGGCATGAATCCTCGTTTTTTTTTTCTTCCATAGAATATTGGAGCACCTGCGCATTGTCATCACAAGGCGAGGTGCAAAGGCTCCACTGTCGTTTTCGTCAATGAGCACTGACCCCGGCGTGCTTCAAAAAAAAAGTACACTTTTCAAGTTATGAGTACTGGCATCGTTTTTCATTTTTAAATGGCTCAGAAAATTTAAAATGAAAGATATACGCCGCAAATTGAATGTTTCGTGAGAATCTACCAGATACCGACGAATTTTAACAATTACGAGAAATAATTTGGTGAAGATCATGAACCCTGATCGGAGATATTTTTGCCGTTCAATGCAGTTCATAGCCGGTTTCATTTATAATCTTTATTGCAATATCACAATGCTTTCCTCTCGCATAAATTTGTGATCTCTCGTTAACCACATGTTTTTAATCCGTATAGGACAGTTACTGCGGATAATCTCTGTAATTTTTGTCGACGCGGCCTCATCAAGTGTGAGGCCACGGGACGGTTTTATGCTCTCCCTTGTGTGCTGTTTGCAGGTTTTATAAAGGCGAAGCTCCTTAAGCCATGCATGCGTCATGCGTCATGCGTCCGCGCGATGTATGTAGTAGTAGTAGTATTAGTAGTAGTCGTCGTCGTAGTAATAGTAAAGTAGCCACCTCCACGGCCGGACTAGAGGAGCGGCACGCGCGCACCCATTCGAATTGAAGAGGAAACGCGCGCACGTTAATCATAATTAAAAATATATTTGTTTCTGAATAAATAACCTACAGAGACGACTATTGATGACTTAATCTTCCATTAAAATTTTCCTTGAATTTGATGCTTACTAAAAATATCACAGCATATCCACGAGGGGAATGATGACGAGTGGGTCGAAGTGGACGGACGGACGCATGGACGGATGCACTAACACACGGACGCACGGATTCACAGATGGACGCGCGGATGCATGGACGGACGGATGAATAGACGCATGGACGTGCGCAGGGACGGACGGACGGGTGTATGCACGGACAGATACAAGAATGAACGAACGCACGAGTGAGCGGATGGACGTATGGACGGATGCATGGACGAACGCAGGGATGGACACACGGGCGGACGAACGGACGCATGGACGAACGCAGGGACAAACCCGTGTACTGACGAATAGAGGCATAGATGGACGCATAGACGTACAGATGAACGGATAGACGGACGGATGGACGGACGCATGGATGGACGGAAGCAAGAACGAACGGACAGACGGAAGCGCGGACGAACTGATTGACGCTTCGCCCCACTCATCATCATTCGCTCCATGAATATGCTGTGATGTTTATTTATTATCATACTACAAGTAACGTCCTCTATATCTTTTGCCTTTTTCAGCGTATATGCATTCCCTTATATGTACAAGTACCGCCCTCTACGGCCGGTTCAAGAACTATCGAGAGGTGGATACATACGATTACGACGAGACGCTCAGCCCACGCCTTAAGGAGCTTCACCCGAAACTAGTAACAGAAGGACGCACTTTGAGCACCATCTGACCAAAAAAGGTGGCTGCGTTAAGCTCGCTGGGCGTAACCTCCTTAGTTTTAGCAAGGTTTAGCGTGGGTTGGGCCGCAGTGCCATGAGCTAGCGGTGGTGAAAGGTAGGAACTAGACACGAAGCGCAGGTCGTAAGAGAATGCGCGCGTGCCGCTCCTCTAGTCCAGCCTCCAGGCCTTAGTTTTGAGCAGAGTGACGTATGGCCTACCGTACCACTCACTCGACAGAAGTGAGGAGAGCCAGGTGGATGTGCTCATTAGAAGCGCTTTTAAGGCAGCACTTGGTCTACCCACCAGCACACCGACCGAGCGGCTCCTAGCTCTCGGTATACATAACACTTATGCTGAGCTCAGTGCCGCAGTCCTCATGTCTCAGAGGAATCGTCTAAGTGAAACTTCAGCAGGCAGGGCGATACTCACTAGAATAGGAATTTCGCCCCACCCACAGCACATTGATGAGGAGCTGGTCGACGTAGCCCAAGAGGTCCGCAGGCGAATCTCAATCGCACCGGTGCCCAAAAATATGCATCACGACTTTCACGCTGAGCGACGTACTGCGAGGGTAAACTGGCTTCGAAAGCAATTCGGCTCAGCTTCAAATGTCGCGTACGTCGATGCGGCCAGTTTCGATTGGCAGAGACACATAATTACTGTTGTCGACAACAACATGACGCTGCTAACGAGTGCCTCCGTACGCACGACCTCGGCTACAAAGGCGGAGACGATGGCCATAGCCTTAGCCTTAAGGTTTCAGGAGCGTAGAGGGGAGCCATCAGTTATTTTATCCGACTCCCAGGAAGCCTGCCGGCTCTTTTTAAGGGGCCGCCTTCCAGCAATGGGGCTGAGGCTGCTAGGATCCAAACTCACTCACCACCATCGCTTGATCTGGTGCCCGGGACACGCAGGTCTCGAAGGCAATGAAAGGGCGGACGCTCTAGCTCGTGCGTTTTGTAACCGAGCGGAGAATCCATCTCTTTCATTGACCATGCCAATTTTACCTAGGGAGATTCTAGCTCACCAGCGCTTCACGCGTCAAAAATGTGGAACACCTCACAGATCCCTTAATGGGGAAGAGGCCACTGACCTTAGAAAAATTCAAACGGATGTATTTCCGCACCTACTGAAGTTACACGCGATACATCCAACTCTTTACCCGGCTGTATGTCCGTGGTGCGGCGGAAGACCGACTCTCTACCACATATCGTGGGGGTGCGATCGTAAACCAAGCGACATAACCAATTTTCTCGGCGAACCTTTAACACCTAGTATGGAGCAGTGGGAGGCACACCTCGCTAGCTCGGACCCAGGAGTGCAGCTCGCACTACTGGATCAAGTCCGGCGGGCGGCTAAGGCCAGTGGAGCCCTGGACGTAGGGCCCCAACCATAAAGGCTCTAAAACGCCCCTCTCCCTTTCCCCTTCAATAAAGTTTTACTCTCTCTAGTCCAGCCGTGCCCCCTCTCGTTTAGTCTTTGGAATGTCCACTAGATGGCGGTACTTTTGCATGATGAATACATGATGAAAATATGCGAGATGGTGGTACTTGGAGTGTTCACTAGATGGACACAGGGATGAACAGACGCACGGGTGGACGGATGGACATAGAGACAGATGCATGGATGGACGGACGCATATGGAAGGACGCATGAAAGTATGGAAGCAAGAACAAATGAACGGACGGGTGGAAGCGCGGACGGACTGGCGGATGCTTCGCCCCACTGATCATCATGCACTCCATCGATATCCTGTGATTTTTTTAGTCTTCCTTTATTGGGACAGCGTAGTGCTCTCCCATAGCAGAGTACATCATACTCCGAATCGTCGAGTTTTTGTTTTATTAACACATACCATGTAGCGTGTTGGTTGCTTAACCTTACGTAACGGGAGACGGCTTTATGCTCTCCCATAGTATAGAGTACCAAGTATTTCAAATCGTTGAACACGTTTTTCTATACGCACCGTTGTATCCATCGTATCATGTCCCATTGAGTACATTTGCACATGCATGCCACGTCTGTCATGTACATTGCAGTAATGATGTGTTCGCTACAACATAGTGATGTTTGTCGTGGCACATAGATGTGCCGATGTGTATGTACCCCTGATTACTGAAATGTCATCAAATTTTTGCTTTTTCTACACAGCATAAATAAACTTCCTCAACAATAAAAAGTGTGTACATTCGTGTGCACAGAGACAAATTGGTGTTCTGGAGCCCATTTTGAAACGTGTATACTGATTTTGCTTGTTTTCTTAGTTTTGTTTGTTTATGCACAAGTTATATGTAGAATAAAGCTTTGCATGTGCAATAAAATTTCCCAAGCAAGCGGAGAACATGCTTCGAATTGACAAGAATGTGAAACCGGAACAAAACCGTGCCCATCGCGTGCACATATATCAGAAGGTTGCAAATGTGCAAACGTATGTTTCAAGCGAAACAACATATTTGCAGAGTGCAAGACTACATGTAGTTACGACGTAACTACAGAAGAAGAGATATGCTGATTCCCATTCACCAACTAGCCCAAGCATCTGTCTTTTCAAGCGAAACCCTTATTTGAGTACAAAACTGTCATATCGACCTTCAGATAGGAAGTGACATGGGAGAGAGGGAGGCGTTCTCATATCCTGCCGTGGGGCAGCTTAAAGCTTCTCCGCGGGTTGTCGACGCCTGCTTCAGATAGTTCCCGTTCTGTTCTGCGCATGCCTTTCTCCGCGGAATCAGGAAGAAAAGCTGTCGAACTTAAGACGATCGAGGAGGACACAAAGAAAGCACTTGTCTTTGCGCTCATCTGTTTTAAGTGTTCCTTCTAGTGCTCGTGTTTTTTGCGCGACGTTTTGCCATCTGGTAGGGCACTTTCACTTCTATGACACCAATGCGCTATGAAATTACTACGGGCCTCCATCACACCACACAGTGACCCGAGATGTGATACCGCATGCAGTGCCACGTGCGATAACGTCGGTACGGTCACCAGAAAGGGCACATGTCTGGATGGAAAGTTGAATAAAGGATGCGAAGGAAGTGTAAGGTAGGGAAATGTGTTGGCCTGCAGTTGATGCGCGGAAGTGAAATGTGTTGGCCTGCAGTGGACGCGCGGAGGTCGCTTCCGGGCGCCAACTGCAGGCCAACACATTTTCCTACCTTACACTTCCATCGCATCCTTTATTCAACTTTCCATCCTGACATGTGCCCTTTCTGTAGAGCCGTACTGACGTTATCGCACGTGGCACTGCATGCGGTATCAACGCTCTCCTATATATTCGTACCCTGCAAGACCATGCTGCGTGACGGCAGCCTGGATAGCCAGCGTGCACTCGTCCATCGGGAACGGAACGTGGCAACAGCTATTTAGCCTCTTGACTATAAGGGCCCCGAACAACACCCTCCTAATGTAAAGACTCTTTAACTGCGCTATCGCAGAGACGGAGAAAAAAAGACTGTAGAATGATCGTGCGCAGGCTCTAAACTGAAGGTTTAATAGATGAAAGATGACATAGTATACTGGTCACCTAAAACGAGGTATACGCTGACGTCACAAAATAGCACCTAAAAACGACAATACTCAATTAGCGACTGTCACCGAAGGGTCACTTGTACAACCACGTGTGTTATTCATATGTGCTTATAAAAGCTCCCGAGCGTGACGGTCGCTATGACGTATACGGCGCAGAATCGGGGAAGTTGAGTCCGCACACGTCCATTCTTGCATGTTTTCTTGTTCGTGTTCATTAGCGCGGTTAAAATGCCTCTACTCTGAGTGTTACCCAAGTAGCCCGGCTTTGAAGCTCTGTATATTCTTCCAGGCATATCTACATAGCTTTTCTTTCTCTCTCTCTCTCTTTCTTTGTCAATACTTCTCTTAGCTGTCTTAAACGTAGGATTAGACAGGTGTCTATATATCTTCGTGATACTGTTTACACTACATTAACCCTATCCAAAATTGAATAAACATACTAATCTGAGACCTTTAAAAATGCTTCATTATTGGTAGCATTATTTATTATTGGCCTTTTAAAACCGTGCCATTCGTTGCATCTGTACTGAATACTCACTGTTAGCTGGAGAAAATCATTTTTAAAAAAGTTATATTTTCAAACCTGCTTTCGATAGTACAATTTTAGGATGCTAGCTTTTTTTTCCCACTTTGTCATGTAAATCTTATGTGAACAAGATTTCACTGTATGTACCTCGCTTCTGCCGCACACGGCGAGCACCCTTCGGACGTTCTTCACCACGTTCTGCACGGTGGTGTTTCCGGCGACGCAGGTGACGGCCTCCACGGTCGAGTGCAGGCTCAGGGCTAGGATGAGCGCCAGCGCGTCGTCCACGCCACAGTCCACGTCCAGCACCAGGCGACGGTCTCGGACCGCCTGGCCGCTGTCAACGTCGCTCATGGCCACCCCGAGTAACCTTGGCAAGCTGCGGGCGAGACCACATTCACTTGTAAATGATTCTTAGAAGGTCGATTGAGAAGGGCTTGCCTCTTTGCACGACGTGCATGAAATGTCCGCCGCACGATAATACGGACCACGACTCGAGCGAGTGCCGCCATTGCCGTCTGCGCCGTCTGCTGACAAGCCGTTTGCTGTTGAAAGCATTGGCAAACGACTCGCCACTAGACGGCACAGACAGCGATTTCGGCACGCACTGACGTGATCCATGCTATTGTGTGGGGAGTCTGTACTCGTGTACGTAATGGTGCACTGGGTTTTGCGCGCTTGCCTTGGTGACGGGTCATTAAGTATCGTGGTTCTGACTTGTGACCCACGAACGAACGACACCATTACATTCCGCTCAGTAGTAAGTCACTTCTTGGAGATAACTCATGAAACTCTATCGGAATTTGTGCATCAGAAATTGGGACATGTCATTCAGTTGCATTAGTCTTAAATACAAACATCCCGCCACAGGTACAGAGTGCAGATGTATACTCATGTCTTATACAAGTATGTTCCACCATCCAAAGCGGAGGAAGAAATAGGGGGTCATTCTAAGATGCCTGCAAACGCACGTTTTTTATGAACACACAGTTAACCAGTTTAAATAACCGGGTTACGTATAATACGATGATTTATGGGATTTTAGGAACTTGTACATTGTGGATATGAAGTAACTGCAGATTTCAAACATGACTTCTTTTTCCTTAAAAGCGGCGAAAAAAATTACATTGAAGGCGGTAGGCGGCATGGATTATAGACTCAATAAATCGAGAACTAGCAACTGTGGTCCAAGAGCAACATGCCCGTTGCGAGGTCACGAGCTTCGATTCCGTAGGTGACTGCTCCTCATTGCATACACGGGCGGAATTCGAAAAACTCACCGCCGTTTACACAACTCCCTGATGCGAATGCTGAGCTCAGCTTCGTGTAAGGTTAACGACAACTTCGTTTGTAGTTTTGGCTATGCGCATTCGTATAGCAATGTAACATTCGTTACGCATATCCATCGATACTGCCCGTGCTCGAATGCTACGTGCACACCACTCTGTGCATTTCAGGCGTCACCAACCACGCAAAACGCCGACAGTCCCGTTAGAACAAACGAAGCCAGCCGCACTGTATGTTCCAGCCCTGCGTGCACTCGAGCTCCGCTCGAGTTGCCAGCGCGCATGACTGAGGAAGAAAGCGAGGATAGAGGCCGGTGGCTCGCAATGCCGACAAACCTCGCTTTCGCTCTCTTTCGTCCTGGTTCGCTCTAATGGTTAAGCCTACGCCGACAACCAACTCCAACGGTGACGCATCTCAAAGCAGGAACGGGCGCCGAAGAGGACGACTCGCTTGTTGGACTTCGTGCTGAATGGTTGTGTCGTCCGCGAACTCCTGGTGCCGTGCAGCTCTCGCCGAGTGGTGCCCCGTCCTCGGACTCCTTCGACCACGTTCCGATCTTTCGCCTTTCTCAATCTTCACTTCTCACTCTATCCCTTTTAATCCTTCTTTGTCCCAGTCCCTTGTAAACTACTGCCGAAGTGTCGTACTTTGCAGCAGACAGCAGCGGGGCTCACTTTTCCCTTCTGTTCTACTGTTTCGAAACCACTACCACCCCTCCCCCTGCCTAAGAGCTGTGCGCTAAAACACTCGTTAGACCAGCAGTACACGTTAGAAAAACGTCGGGTGCTGGAACGTAATCGTAACAATTCATCCACGCAGAGTTCCATACGAAAGGACCACGCGATTTTCTTTCCTTGTACACTCATAATAATTTAAAATCATGCATAAGTTAGCTTAAAACACTGCCGATAATTTGCCTGCCATATTTTTCTGCACAAAGTGCTGTTTACGTGAATTTATTTTATTGTATTTATTTCAACATACTGCAGCCTCGATGGGTAGCAAACGCCAATATTTCAACCAAAAAAAGTACAATATGCACTGAACACGGGGATAAATGGTTAGTAACATTCAAAATCATATTCGACACGACTTTCCTGTTCCGCACAGTAGCAACAGGACGTTAAAGTATTTCAACCAAACTAACAAGTCAACCTCGCTGGATGTACGTGCACTCACTTACCTGTTAGCGTCACATAAGCAGCTGCTTGCGGAGTGTAGAAGACAGGTCCGCTCTTTGCCTCCGTAGGCAGTCAGAATTACGCACAGTTTCCAGAGGGCCTCCGATAAGAACTCGCAATCAGGCTGGCAG